AAAAAAAAAAAGCTCAGTCTTTGATTCAACAGTAAGACTTCTAGGAATCTATTCTAAGGGAATAAGTGAAAATGTGTGCAAAGAATTAGTGATAAAGATGGTCTATGAAAAAATTTTTATAACAAGAATATATATATTCGATATATTAACCAAAAAAACTACCTAAATGCCCAGCAGCAAGAAATTAGAAGTGTACTGTATTGTAAACAATGGAATATAAAATAGCTGTTGAAATGATATATTAGCAGTATATTTATAAATATGAGAAAAACTCATAATACATCACTGAATGACATAAATTAACCCATGTGCTGAATACTGCTTTTATAAATAGATGGAACAATTAATTTATGCCTGGCAGGGCAGAGTAGTAAAGAGAGGTGATGGTGGTGACTTTTTTTATTGAGACAGTCTAGTTACGCAGCAGCGTTATTTTTGTCTAACATAGTCTCTCAACATAATGCTTTTGAGATTCACCTGTTACTGTATTTACCTTAGTTCTTGCACTTTAACACAGTGGACCATAATGGGCTGTTATTTTCATAACTACTGTTATGAAAATGGAGTAATTAGTTTAGCCATTTACCTGTAGATGGATGTTGGGTTAGTTCTTGTTTTGGGCTGTTATGAACAAAACTGCTGAGAATATGTTTTTCCAAGTGCTTTGGGTTTGTGTTTTTACTTATCTTCAGTAAATCCCTAGGAGTGGAATTTCTGAGTCATAGGTAAGTATGTATTTAACTTTATTTATTTATTTATTTTTACCACAAATCCTTCACATATCTTCTCACTTGACCCTCACAACAACCCTGTGAGGTAGGCAGCACAGATGTTTTTCTCATTTAACAGATGAGGAAAGAGTGTTTAACATGCCTAAGTTCTACAGTTAGTAAATAATTGTATTAATATCAGTCTTTGGCCTAAACTTTCAGCACCCAGCCTCCCCTCATGTATGTCCACCTACTTCACAGGGATAATGAAGGTAAAATGAATTCAAGGCTAGAAAAGTACTTTGAAGGAAAAAAACCACTAATAATTATATAGTGCATGAACCCATTATATTACCTTTGTCTAAACTAACTAAGCAACTAAGTAAGGCAGGGTAACAGTGTGATCCTGTTTAACATTATGTAAATCACAATCAGGATAACTGCATTATTAGGCAAAATGAACAACACACAAAGGCTAATGAGCAGCTAGACCCCACTAAAGTACACAATAAAGCAAGGCAACATTACCAGACAGGGCGTGATTGCATAGAAGAAAAAAGTGGTGTCAGAGTTCAAACTGGCACACACATGGTTATCTAAGGCAAGGTGGTGGCAGAGAAGAGTTACTTGTTCCGCATTATATAAACAAGAGCAGAAAATTCATGGGAACCCATGCAAAAGCATCTTGTGTCACAGATTTCTCCAGCTGCCTACAGGGACTATAAACACTGTTTTATCTTCTTGGTAAAGTATGATCGTACCTATGCTTATATCCTGAACTAAACCAAGGAGCAGCTCCACGCTAAACGTCTTTGGTAACATCTCACCAGTAGGATTACTCACAATCAGACTAAAAGAATGTCCTTTAAGGTAATGAATTAGATGGCTGTTTAGGTTTCTTCAGGATTTACTTTGGCCCCATATTTCTCTTACTTTAAGATCCAAAGAAAGTTGTATTGAGTTTTTATTAGTGATTCTGAGTATATGTGTTTATAACATTTAAGTGTGAGAGATGAATTTAACATATTAAAAGTTCTTTAGGGGGCTGGTGAGATGGCTCAGTGGTCTAAAGCATCTACTTAGAACAAGCTAAGCTAAGCAAAGCACAGGGACCGCGGTTCAATCCCCAGCACCACATGCCAGCCATCTCCGCCCCCTGGTGGGCTGAGCTGGCCACACACACAAATAAATAAACAAACAAACAAATAAATTTAAAAAAAAGTTCTTTAGTATCTGTTCAGAAAGGATTATATACTATACAAACTAATGAAGTCATGCAAAACCATTTTTCATTGTCTTTTCAAATGAGAAGAATCCTATTCAGCACGCTTCTCCTCCTGAGGTGGTTTCATACTGAGTAAGCTTTACTTTCAGGTTTTTTTAAATTTTCTTCTATGGTAGCTTCATATTTCTCTTTCATTTCTGCCAATTGTAGACAAAGCAGCTCAATCTCTGCATTTTCTGGGGTAACAGCTCCTAAGTGATGCTTTAAAAAATCCAAGACACTAGGAGGTTTCTCTGGTTCTTCATATGAGGTTATCGACACCTTGGTCAACGTGTCCAGCACCCCCAACTTCTCCAAGTACATCCAGAACTGCTCGCGCTTCAAGTCAGAGGCTTTGTAATGGGCCATAGTGACAGGGGCAACGGCCTAGCTGGCGCTGGAGACTGGAGACCATGGCAGGCAGGCTCGGATCTGCGCTGCTCTGTACTTACCTTTATAAGAAACTGCCAACGTGTTTTCCAAAGTTGTAACATTTTCAGCTTGCTGTTGCAGTTCACATGTGTTCTGGCTGCTCCCTGTCCTTGCTGACGTCTGCTGTTGTCGCTACATGGACCTCCATCCATTGCAAAGGAGGGAAGGAGGTGTAGGCAAACCTGTATTTATAAATCTGGTGCTATTTAGTATTTTGATGAAGATGGGTGCTAGGTCATTTGCTGAGAGCAAAATGATAAGGCAGGACCTGGAAATCTGAATAGAGGAGGTGCAAATGGTCACTGCATGAAGGAAAAGAGCGAGTTGGCTAGGAAGATGTGCAGGATCACCAGGCAGGGTTGAAAGCCAGTGATGACCACGAACTTAAAGTAACAAAAAGTGCTGATGTATGAGATCACGCGGTGCACCCTGGGACCAGTTGCGCCTATAGAGAAGGAAGAGTTCGGTTCATTTAGGATTTGGGTGTTTCCCCAAAAGTGTTATTGAAGTTTAGAGGGGCAGAGGCCAGCAAGATAGCTCAGCAGACTCAAGCATCTGCTTAAGCAAGCTTAGGCAAGCTCAGAGACCCCGGTTCAATTCCCGCCACCACATGCCATACCAGCCCTGCCCCCAGTGCAGGCTAAACTGGCCAGAGTCTGGGCATAGTGGCACGTGCCATACACGCCTGCAATCCCAGTGCTGGGGAGGCTGAAAGCAGGAGGATCATCATGAGTCTAAGCTGTGTAGTGAGACCCTGCAACAACCAATGAAATATACAAAATAAATAAATAAAACATAAAATACAGTTTAGAGAAGCAAAGGAATTTATAGTATCAATGACAAAGTGACAAAAGCAATGGACTGTGGGAATCTAAGATGAAAAGAAGTGAAAATGGAGAAGATGATGGCTGAAAATCAAATAGAAGAGGCAGTGGACAGGCAGCCCTGAGGAAGATCAGGTGCTGTGGGAGCAGGTAGGCACAGCTTTAGGTTGTGGTCAGCACATTTCTGTATGTATGAAATGCAGGAAAAACAGAGTTGTAGAGAGGATTATATTGCATTTCCAGTGCAGTCCATGGTGAATATAAGAGACAAAGACATGTCTGCTGTGGTTCAAAACCTTAAACTCTGTACCAAGGTTTGCATTTCACTGGACTTCCAGCTTCTAGAAGGCAAGAACTGTGTCTCAGACATCCCCATCCCTACCATGGTGCCTATGACTGCTGGGTGGATGCACAAATGAACTACTTTCTCTTGAAGATTTAGGCTCTGGGACAATTTTCTGGACTCTGTAGTATAGAAAACAGTCCACCCTTTAATATTCTTGTACACAGAATATTGTAGACAAGACTCTTGTAACAGAACAACCCATTGTACCCAAATTGGAGAGCTTGACAGAGGAATAGAGGGACCCATGACTCACCAGAGCAGGGAGCTGTGAGGGGACACCCGAGAACTGCTGCTGGGTAGGTAGAGGAGCCCGACTGGACCTCGATGTCATCTGGAGGAGTTCGCAATTGCAATCCCAGGGAAAAACTATCGGAATTCTTACAAGTTAATTCTCATCAATCACATCCAATGCAACCCTTTATGTCTTTGAGAATAAAGAAACAAAGACATGTCTGCAGCTGTGGCAGCCAAGGGCGTCCTAAGTCCAGTTGGAACAAAGGTTAACCAGGACAAAGGCCTCGACCTGGGGCTGAACCTAGCTGGGTTTTAGCAATTCATGAAGAGGGCAGTGGCTTGGGTGGAGTGGCCCCGGCTGTGAGGCTAGCAGGCAGCCCGTGGCGTGAGCACTGTGAGCTGTGCTAGGTGGGAGGCACGACGGCATCTCTGCAATACGCAGAGAAGCTTGCAGCAAGAGCGCCGGCTTCTGCTAACAGGTAGCCTCTACGTTTGGAGGGATCTGCATCACCGTTTGAAGAAGTATCTTATGTCTTGGGTCAGCTGCCTCAGCTCTGACGTCTGGCCTTTATTGCCCTGGGACCTCACTGCCTCTTTCTTTTTTAAAAAAATTTTTATTTTATTTGTGTGTGTGTGTGTGTGTGTGTGTGTGTGTGTGTGGCCAGCTCAGCCCACCAGGGGGCGGGGCTGGCTGGCATATGGTGCTGGGGGATTGAACCGCGGTCCCTGTGCTTTGCTAAGCTTGTTCTAGGTAGGTGCTTTAGACCACTGAGCCATCTCACCAGCCCCCACTGCCTCTTTCTTGAAGTTCAATCCCAGCCCTCTGTTGGCCTAGCTAACACTTAATAGTAGGGAATGATAGGCCTGGCTTCGCAGACCTGTCCCTTTGCTTCAAAGACTACACCTCAGCATCTTGGCTGGCACCATTTGCATTGCTTAAGGCCAATGGGAGGGGGCATCTCCCTAGCCAACTGTGTACACATCTGTATGTGGAAGTAGGGCAAGGGTGGATCAAAATGGAGGCAACTTGTTTTCTTTCCTGGTGATCATCACATGGAGGGAAGTAAAAACTATATTTGCAGAAAATTTATAAGCTTTTATTTGGGGAAATATTCAACTCTTGGATGTACTGAACATATTCCTTCTCCGTGTGCACAACCAGCCCCTGAGCTCATGGGCCATCTCTCGTGTCACAGTGGTGAAGTGCTGGAGGCCTGGTGTGGACACCTCTGACAGATGAAAGCCCCCGGGGCGCCAGTCACCGGAGGCCTCCCTGCACCTTTGGGACTTTTACTTCCTGGAGCTCCATCAGATTCTCACAAGGAATATTGGAGAAAAATCTCCACATGTGTCTATAAGGCAAGCAGAAAAGAACCATTAAACAAATACACTAGAACATTCTATTCTTTCCAACAAAATGTACCTTGAGGAGAAACTGCTTTGCTAGCACCTGAAGCTGGGATTTAGTCAGACTCTCAGTGACCTAGAGGAGAGAAACACCCACCTCAACCCTCTGTAGCCATTCTGTTCTACCTCAGGAGAGGAACTCAGAGAGCCCTTGTGAAGTTCACATTCCGGAAATTTGCCCTCACCAAAAGATTTAGACCTAATTCTAGGACTACAGAAGACTTCCCCTCCCCTGACATCTTACCTCAGCACACTAGAAGTCTATTTGTAGTAGTTCCTTTTACCTACTACCTCATGTCTGGCTATTAAGAAAACATTACAAGTCATACTAAAAATCAAAAAACCAACTAATCAACAAGCTAATCAATCAATAACCAACCAAACAAAAAACAAAAAACAGTTTGAAAAGACAGAGCAAGTGTCAGAACCAGACTCAGACATGCAGAGATGTTCATGAAATGATTACACTGGGCCTGTAAGACAGCTATGATTCATATGCCAAGGACCATGATCTAAAGAGTAGATAATGTACCAGAGCAGAAGAACATTAATTAGAGAGGTGGAAATTCTAAGAAATGACCAATAAGAAGAGCTTGATGTAAAAATCACTGCTAGAAATAAAGAATGCTTTTGATAGCTCATTAGCGGAGTGGACACACTCTGTGGAAAGAAACTCTGAGCTCAAGGATATCTCCATGGAAACCTCTCAATTTGGAAAGCACACAGAAAAGAGACTGATAGATCCAGGATAGAATACACAGAATAGAACTGTGAGAAACCTACTAGCATACATGTGATGAGAATTGCAGAAGGAGAAGAGAAAAAAGGAACAGAGGAAATGGTTGGAATAATGATGACTGGGAATTCCCCTAAATTAATGTCAGACACAAAATCACTGATCCAGGAAGCTCAGAGAACTCTCAGGAGGACAAATGCCAAAGCACATCCTTCCTTTTCAAAGTACAGAAAATTAAAGATAAGCCAGGTGTGGCGGCACATGCTGTTGTTTCATTCAGGAGGCTGAGGCAGGAAGATCATTTGAGCCTAGGAATAAGGGCCAGCCTAGGCAACATAAGGGGACCTTGTCTCAAAATAAATATGAAGGGAGAGAGAAAGGGAGAGACATCAGAAGAAGAAACCTTACTTAAGAGGAACAAAAAGAGTTGTATATAACTTCTCAGAAACCATACAAGCAAAAAGAGAAATGTTTAAGGAGAAAAAACCCACCAATCTAGGATTCTTTACTGTACAAAATTATGCTTCAAAAGTGAAACAAAAATAAAGACACTTTAAGAAAAACAGAAATAGAAATAATTTGTTGTGAGGAGACCAACCTTACTAGAAATATTAAAAGAAGTTCTTTGGAGAGGAGGAAAATGGTTCAGGTCAGAAACTTGGGGTCTATGTAAATAAAGGAAGAGCACTGAACAATGCATAAGAGAAGAAAAATAATAGCTTTCTTATTCTTAATTGAGATACCAGTGGTTTTCTTTAAAATAATAATTATATTTATATATGGCTTTATATATATGTTTATATATGGCTTTTGTCATTCATTTGAAATGAATGACACAAATGATACAAGGGGTAGGAGGAATAACTAAGATTATTTTATTATTATTTATTTTCTTTCTGTATTTAGGACAGGGTTGACAGGGTCTACTGGGTCTCACTACATAGATCAGACTTGTAGTGATCCTCCTTCTTTCTGCCTCCCAAGTGCTGGGATTACAGGTGAGCACCACCACGCCCAGTCTCAATCACTGTCTCAGTGTGCCCTGGGGGCAGGCCTGGCACCTGTGCCCTGCCTAAGCAGGCGCTTTAGTCCACTGAGCTATCAGGCTGGCCCAGATTATTTTATTATTGCAAGGTGCTCATATTACCTGCCAGATGGTGTACTATTATTTGATGTTGTTGTTTGCTTTTGTGGTACTGGGGACTGAATTCAGGGATACTCTACCACAGAGCTACACTCCCAGCCTTGTTTATTTGTTTACTTATTTATTTGTTTATAATTTTAAATTTTTTTTTAATATTTATTTATGTATTTATTTGTGTGTGGGGGGGCAGCTCAGCCCACCAGGGGGCAGGGCTGGCTGGCATGTGGTGCTGGGGGATTGAACCGT